CACGCGCCACAGATCCAGATTCCTCCCTCCTATTGGCAGGAGGGAAACGGCCTGGTTCTGTGCTGCCCAGCCTCCGACATAGCGAGCCCCGAGCAGGCAGCTGTTCTTGGCCTAGTTTCCCCGCCAGCAGCTGGGAAGCTCTGGGCTCAGCGTGCGTGGCAGGGGCATTGGCAGGAGGGAAAGGGCCAGGTTCTGTGCTGCCCAGCCTCCGACATAGCGAGCCCCGAGCAGGCAGCTGTTCTTGGCCTAGTTTCCCCGCCAGCAGCTGGGAAGCTCTGGGCTCAGCGTGCGTGGCAGGGGCTGCTCTCGCCCCATGCTCCCTGGCTCCGTTTCCTTCCCAGGGCAGGGATCTGCACGAGCTCCGGCGGCACATCTACGCCGACACGGTGGATTTCTTCACCATTAAGAAGCTAGTGCAGAAGGTTTTCCCTCGCTGTAGGTGCCTGGAGCTTCACCGCAAACAACGGGACCTCAGCGGGGTGAGGAATGACCCCTGACCGCCGGGGTAGCCGAAGCACGACCTGGGCTGCCCCCTCTCTTTCACTGCAGCCTGTGGGAACTACATGTCCCAGCATGCCATGCTGCATCTCCAGCTGATTGGCCCGCCCCTTGCCGTTTGCCTGGTGGCAGGTTCAGAGTGGCCTACTCTCCCGCCCCAGGAGGGGGTGCAGCTGGATGTGCGGAGACATGGGCCAGGATGGTGCGTGGGGCCGTGGTACGGCCGGCTTTCCCGGGCTGCACCTTCTCTGGAGATGAAGGGGAGCTTCATGCCGCCTGCTCAGCTGGGAATCCAGATTCCATCTGAACCGGCTTAGGAGTGGGCTGGGGAAGGCCTGGCTGGTGGGAGCAAAGCTGCAGCCTGTGTCCCTGCCACACGGGGCCCCTGCGGGTGGGAGCTGCGTTGGGAGTCGTGGAGAGGGGCTGCGTGTGGGCTCAGGGAGGAAGGAGGTCTGCAGCGCCCGCTGCTCCCCTCTGCTACCTCCTGCCAGAGAAGGGCTCCCGGATGACCCTTCCCAGAGAGCTGTTGTTAACGGTTCACAATCTGCTGGAAGGGCAGAACACGTGGGGCTCCGCAGGGGTCTGTTCAGTATCTTCATCAGCGATTTAGACTCTGGCACAGGGAGGACGCTTATGGAGTTTGCAGATGATCCCAAGCTGGGAGGGGTTGCGAGTGCTTTGGGGGAGAGGGTCAGAATTCAACAGGATCTGGACACACGGGAGAAATGGTCGGAGGTCAACAGGGTGAAGTTGAATAAGGACAAATGCAAAGTGTTCCCCTTAGGAAGGAACAATCAGTGTCACACATACACAATGGGAAGTGGCTGTCTAGGGAGGAGCACTGCAGAAAGGGATCTAGGGGTCAGAGTGGACCACAAGCAGGACTGGCCTTACCATGAGGCAAACTGAGGCCTCAGGTGCCAGACTGGGGGGGGGACGTCACTAGGACCCAGAAAACTGTGTCTGCTGCTGTTAGTTCTCCTTTACTGGGGTAGGGGGTAGCAGAGCAGTCCCATGGCCTCTGAGTTCATCTTGGCCTCTGAGGACAGATCAAGAAGCAAGGGGCTTAAACTGCAGCAGGGGAGGTTTAGGTTGGACATTAGGAAAAAGTTCCTGTCAGGGCGGTGAAACACTGGAATAAATTGCCCAGGGAGGTTGTGGAATCCCCGTCTCTGGAGAGATTTAAGAGCCAGTTAGCTAGATCTCTGTCAGGGACGGTCTAGATGGTGCTAGGTCCTGGCGGGAGGGCAGGGGACGGGACTCGATGCCTCTCGAGGTCCCTTCCTGTTCTAATGTTCTATGTTGTTTCCCCACAGGGGCCTGAGGTGTCGGACACTGAGATGCTGGAGCTCATGGGAGCCGGCGAGGAGCCGGCGTGTTGGGCTGACAGGAAGAGTGGGCTGCAGCGAGTGTGTTACAAACACGAACGCGCCATCCCTGTGCAGCAGACGGTGGAGTCCCTGGATGCGCCGCTTCCTGGCATGGCCACCGGGACAGCAAATTCTTCTTCCCTTCAGCTCTGTGGGCAGGAGGAGGCCCCCGGGCGGGGTAGCGTGGGCTTGTTTGGCTTTGGGCAACATCCAGTGCGGATGGCAGGAGGACCAGCAGATCCGGCGCCTGCTGGGGTGGAGTGGGGTGGGGGCAGCAGGTCCCTCCGCGCCGGCTGGGCTGGGGCAGGGCAGGCCTGGTGGTTGGCCCTTCGGCCTGGCCCAATGGGCTGCCCAGACCTGCTTCCGTTGTAGGTTGGCCCAGGCCTTGCTGCTGTGTCTGTTGCGGGAGGAAAAGTGCAGACGAGCTGTCACATCTGGTGTTGGAAGGTTGCCCGGCCAGGCTGGGGCTGCTCTGGCCTGTGTCCCGCCAAGGGCCTGCGCCTTGCTGTGAGCGTGAGGGGCGTGCCTTGTGCCAGGAGAAGGGAGCAGCATGGAGCTGCTCCTCTTTAACAGCGGGATGGCTCCTGTCCCACCACGCCCTGCTCTTGAGCAAGCCAGGCGGAGAGCGGGGCAGGTCCTGCATGGGAGGCTCAGCCGGAGGTGTGCCCCTGGGGAGCTGGGCCCGCACGCTGCTCAGGCCAGTCCCATCTGCATTCCCCACGACTGGCGCATTTCTTCTCTCCTGCTCCAGGCATCGAGACCCTGCTGTGCTACCTGGAGCTGCACCCACGGCGCTGGGTGGAGCTGCTGCACCCCACTTTCTCCTCCTGCCGGGTGGTGTGTTATGGGGGCCCCCAGCAGCTCAGGGCGATTGCAAAGAGGTGAGAGTCGCTGTGCGGCGTAGGCATGATGCAGTCGGAGCCCTTCCGCGCTGGGCATGGGGACCCCGCTCAGGTGCGGTGCAGACGCTGGGGAATGTCCGCGCTGGCAGGTGACCGCGCTGGAGCGTTCTCGCTCGGAGTGCAAGCTCCCCCCGCCGGCCCCTCCTGAGCACGGCAAGTGGCAGCACTGGGAAGCGCCGGCAGGGCTCTTCCAGGGAGCATCTCTGGCTAAGGAACAGCTAAGAGGTCCCCAAAGGAGGGGCTGCTTTTTGGTGTCGTCACGGGGCTAGGGAGGCAATAGATTTGAGCTCTGCTCTGAACTGTGCCTTGCGTTGCTGCCCTGAGGTCTGCTCAGCACAGCTGGACTCTGACGGAGCAGCCCCGCCGGGCTGCGGTTCCCCTGGATGTTTGCTGCCTGTTTGCGTGCCAGCTGCCAGGCTGGTCGCAGCACCCCGGCCTGCTGGCCAGGTAGTACGGACACAAAGGGCTCTGAGAAAGGAATTGGTCCTGGCTGGCCAAGAGCCTCTGGGCTGCCTCCCTTGACATCTGCAGTGCCAGGGCTTGGCTGGCAGAGGCCCCAGTGTGAGGTGCCAGTGGAACAAACCCGATGCTCGTAAAAAGACACGGAGCTTTGCACGTCTTGCCTCATTGAGTCTCGCAGAGTGGTGGGGAACTGGCTAAGTGACAGGCCTCAGGCTGCGGAGGGAGGCTGTGTCAGAGCTAGGACGAAATCGGAGCAATTCCTGGCTCCCGGCTCTAGCCCCCTTCTCCCCTCCCCAGCTCCCATGTTACTGCTGCCAGCTTCGATTCTGTCTCTGGGTTCTCAGCGTCTGCCTCCGTGGTTTTTCTCCCTGCCCGCTCTCAGCTCCCCACCCGTCGCCGTGTGCCTGGCCCGGGAGCGCCTGGCCGGGGTGGACCACACGCACGCCAGCTCTGTGGAATTCGACGTGATCGCCCTCAGTGACTCCATGGGCTGGGAGGTTCTGCCGGTGAAGCGAGCCCTGCGCCAGCTCCAGTGGAGCACACAGCTGCAGAAAGGTGCAGGGGCTGGCCTGAGCCGGGTTCTTGGGGGTGTAGGGGCAGAGCAGGGGGAGGGAGCGCCAGAGAGAGCAGAGCTGGAAGGGTAAAACCCCCTCTGCTCCGGCAGCCCATGTGGGTTCTTGCAGCATCTGCAGTAGGCAGGGTCTCTAAAAATGCCCCTGGTGTACATGGGATTGGCCCTCTGGGGTGCTCAGGGCGAAGTCCAGAGCTCCGGTACGGTTTCTGGCCCCCCTCCGAGCCCTGTGACAGACTCATGCCTCTCCCCTGTGGCGGGTTTGTACCACTGCCCCCTGGCTGTGCCTGGGTCCTCCCGGGACCCTGAGCCCGGCCCATTCCAGCTTCCTGCACCGCCGGGTGACCGCGCGGGAAGCGACTGCACTCTGCCAGCTCCAGGCCTGCTTCAGGGCCTTCCAGAGGTGAGTGTGGGCAGCCGTGGGGAGCCAGCCCCGCTCCGCACGCCGCGGGTGGCCTGTCGCAGCACGAGCCTTTCACGCCCTGGCTTTTACCCGCCCGCCGTCCCTGGTGGGGGGGCCCCTGGGCGTTGAAGTGTGTCCTGGCGAGAAGGGGAAGCGACTGCACTCTGCCAGCTCCAGGCCTGCTTCAGGGCCTTCCAGAGGTGAGTGTGGGCAGCCGTGGGGAGCCAGCCCCGCTCCGCACGCCGCGGGTGGCCTGTCGCAGCACGAGCCTTTCACGCCCTGGCTTTTACCCGCCCGCCGTCCCTGGTGGGGGGGCCCCTGGGCGTTGAAGTGTGTCCTGGCGAGAAGACCGGAAGCGAAGGGGGCGTCTAGCATTTGGGAACAGTGGGGCAGACAGCAGTGGGGCAGGGCGACATGCAGCAATCCTGCGTGTCTGTCGGCAGCTCAGACTGGTGGGGGGCAGCGAGGAGGCTGGTGCTGCCTGCCTGGGTGGGGGTGGGGATGGAAGTCCGGGAGGTTGGCTTGGGAAGTCCACAGAGAGTTTCTGAAACTGAGGGTCTTAATGTTGGCCCCGATCCTGAAATGACTGGGCCAGTGGAGCTGCTCCCACAGGAATGAAAGACCAACCCCTTCCTCTGATCGGCCTTCTCTGACGTGAATTCAGAGCAGCATGGCCATCAGCTGCCCCAGGCCTTCCCAAACAAATTGCTCCCTGCCTGGGGAGAGGATGAGAGAACCGTGCAAGTCCCGTCCCTCCAGGCCTGACTGGCAGGTCCTCACCTTCTCCGGGGATGAGGGCTGGAGAAGAACCTTCATGGAACAGATGAGAATTCAAGGGTGGGGGCAGAATGTGGTTGTTTTGCTCTGTACATGTCGCCTTGCTTCTCTCCTGCCCTTGGGACCCCATTCCCTGCTTGCTGCATGACCCTGCTTCCCTGTGTTCATCCCACTTGCTTCTCCACTGATCCTGCACCCTAAGATCTAGCGGTGCCCGGTCTGTCCCTAACACCCCTTGTCCTGAGCAGTGTGGCCTGCCACGCTGGCGCCCAGTACTCGGAGCATGTGGATGGGGAGAGGAGCTCCCGGCTGAAGGCCTTGTTGATGGACTATTTTGAGAAGAAGCCTGCGCTGGATGGGACTGGGCTAATGTGCGAGGAAGAAGAGGAGGAGGCAGATCTCAATAACATTAAAGTGAGCAAACCCCTTTGTTGCTTCCCATGGTTGGTGGATGGTTTTGAGCCCACCTGAGCCACTCTCAGGCTGGCCTCCGCGAGCCCCCTAAAACCATGGCACCCAGGCACCAGGTTTAGTGTCAGCTGTGCATATGGTTGTACTGTGGATGGACGCACACAGTGTGATGGCCTGAGCGGATCAAAGTCCGCAGCAGCAGTGAAGCAGTGATTGCTCCTGGATTCAGGGGTGTCACTCTTTGCAAAGGGGCGGGCGGGCGTGTGTGTGTGTGTGTGTGTGTGTGTGTGTGTGTGTGTGTGTGTGTGTGTGTGTGTGAGAATCGACAACAGGCGGTGCCACCCTTTGGGGGAATGTTCTATGACTGGGTTTGAGACACTTCTCTTCTTCTGAAGCAGGGAAGCACTTTGCTCGTGTGTCTGTGTTTGTCCTTCATTGCACTTGGCTTTTAGACGTTTAAAAGGATGCCATCAAATTATTCTGCACCTTTCAATTTAGGCCTTGTTAGTAACACATGAGGGCCTGTCCTGGTTCCATTGACATCACTGGCACTTCACAACTAGTGCTTTACATTTTTCATCTTCCTGGTGTCCCTAATAGGAATTTAAAAGGGTATTTCTGTAGGTTTTCCTGTCCCTGGACTCTCTCTCTAAACACTCCCTGCAGCCTGGCTGTGCTAGTTCTTCTTCACACAGCGTGTAGTCAACCTGTGGAACTCCTTGCTGGAGGAGGCTGTGAAGGCTAGGACTATAATAGAGTTTAAAGAGAAGCTAGATAATTTCATGGAGATTAGGTCCATAAAAGGCTATTAGCCAGGGGATAAAATGGTGTCCTTGGCCTCTGTTTGTCAGAGGCTGGAGAGGGATGGCAGGAGACAAATCGCTTGATCATTGTCTTCGGTCCACCCCCTCTGGGGCACCTGGTGCTGGCCACTGTCGGCAGACAGGATACTGGGCTAGATGGACCTTTGGTCCGACCCAGTACGGCCGTTCTTATATTCTTAAGTGAAGCTGATCACTTTGGTTTCACTCTTCAAACCGAAGAGGGCAGGAGTATCAGCCATGAGGCTTAAAAGTGAATCACAGTGTTTCTCCCTGCTGCCATAATCTGGGGGCCTCTTAGATTAGCCGTTCTCAATTTACATATATCACTGGGCTGGGGTGGGATTACAGAGAAGCCTTCCGGGGGGGTTCATTAATTCATCTAGGTATTTGCCTAGTTGTACAGCAGGCTATGTTAAATGTACTAGCCAATTCAATGTCACCTAAAGGGTCACACGGACAGTAACCTGTTTACACTGATGCATGTGCTGTTACAGAACTGTAAGTACAATATTTAGATGCCAACTGATTGATATGGTAAACAGAAGAAAGTAGCCGTTTCCCGGAGGGACCTTGGCATATTCTCCCCCCCTCCCTTGCCCCTAAAGCCTAACGAATGTCGCATGTTTTCTCTGTAGCTGCAGGAGTGGGAAGGGCAGATCCGCTCGGACATCCGGAATTTCCTGTCCCTCCGCCAGGAGGAGAAGTTCTCTGGCAGAGCCGTTGCCCGGGTATTTCACGGCATTGGTAAGGGAAGCCGAGCACAAGCCTGGAGCCCTATGTCGTGTGAATTGCCATAATGCTCAGCATTTTCTGCCACCCTGTAACCACTCAGATCTCATCTGAGCCCTCCTTAACATGGCTTGGGCACTGTGGCCATGGGGAAGGGGCTGGCTTGGAGACCGAAGGCTTCTTTGGGGATCTGTTCCTGCTGCTCTCCTTGTCTGTCCTCGTGGAATGGTATGCAAGCCCCCCGGAAGTGGAGCGTGACCCCCTGCTAACACAGTGCAGGGGGATTTGAGCTGCAGGGGACCTCTGACCCTGGAGTGGCATCCGCAGCCAGTGGGGAGTGTATCTGCCGCAGTTACAGCGTGAGTTGTGCTGTACGGCCCCTTGGAAGACCAGTTTTGCTGCTGTCCGCTCTCTCTGGGAGGAATCATGTAGTCCTGCCTCTCTGCTGAGGCCCCGGCCAGCAAGCCCTGGGCAGCGCCCGGCTTGTTCAGCCCCTGCAGGCCCTTTTCATAGAATCATAGAATAATAGGACTGGAAGGGACCTCGAGAGGTCATCGAGTCCAGCCCCCCGCCCTCAAGGCAGGATCAAGCTCCGTCTACACCATCCCTGACAGATGTCTATCTAACCTGTTCTTAAATATCCTTCGGGGCCTTTGGCAGCAGCTGATTAGAGTGACTCAGAACTGAGCTGTACCCGCCTGAGAGCATGTTTCCCTCTTCTCATCTTTCCTTGCCTGCTTGGGAAGTTCCCTCCTCTCTGGGTGGGGAGCCAGCCTGCCCCCCAGAGCTCCTGTGACTCCTTGCATCCCTGTCGGTGCTCACCCCGGCCCCCAACAACTCCCTCCACCCCCCTTCCTTCGCTAGACCCAGCATCCTCTGCTCCAAAGCTCAGGTCTGGAAAGAATAACTACCGTGGTTCTCGTGGCTCAGCGCCCTTAGATGCCCTGTCCAGGGGCACGGTCATTGGGTGAGCAAGGTTGCAGTCTCCTAGCACCGTGTGGGCCTGCTTTGAGCCAGGCGTGATTCCAGTGAACTGGAGAAGACCCCCTTGGTGTAATGGAGCAGGGAATCAGGCCCCTGAATGCCTAGGCCGCGGCCACGTGTGCTCAGCAGCTGTTAATGACTAGGCCGCTTGTTTGAAAGCTTTGGCCACTGGCCTCTCCAGAGTTAGGCGCTGCCCCTGAAGCAGAGGCAGGGGATGAGCTGACTGGGGCTTTTTCTGTCCCTAACAGGGAGCCCATGTTACCCCGCTCAGGTCTACGGGCGAGACCGCAGGTTCTGGAGGAAATACATCCACTTCGACTTCAATAAAATCATGCGCCTGGCCACCGAGGAGATTATCCGCTGCAGATGAGCCTGCAAGGGCAGGGGTGGGATGTACGGAATGTCAGACACTGAGCATCCTGACTGGGGCTTTTTCTGTCCCTAACAGGGAGCCCATGTTACCCCGCTCAGGTCTACGGGCGAGACCGCAGGTTCTGGAGGAAATACATCCACTTCGACTTCAATAAAATCATGCGCCTGGCCACCGAGGAGATTATCCGCTGCAGATGAGCCTGCAAGGGCAGGGGTGGGATGTACGGAATGTCAGACACTGAGCATCAGGGAAATGGAATGGCTCAGCTGGCACCGGAGCAGAGCCAGGGAGCCCTGTGGCTGTGGCTCCATCTGCCAGAGCTCCTGGATTCCAGTCACCTCCCGGCAGGTCCCAGGAGCTCCCACGACGGACTGTTCTCTAAGGGCTGCCGTGATTCTAGCACCGGTTAACCCCGTGCTGGGAACTGGGGCTCCCATTTGCATTGGGAAGTTCTCCGCAGCTCCCAGCAGGCGAAGTACCTGCTTCTCAGGGAGAGGACATGCCTTGGGCGGGGCAAAAGAAGAGTGAGAGCCCGAAGCTGGCCCCCAGGGTTGCTGGGCGGAAGAGGCTTTTGGTAATCCAGCTGACTGTATGTAAATATCCCTACTAAGGTTCAGTCCTCTAGATATGCCCCGAGCAAATGCACCTTGGTGGCTCTGGGAGGCAAGTCCACCAGCCCGGCGTGCTAGGGGTTTGTGGTCTTGTCTTCCTGCTTTTCTGGGCTAACTCCAACATCGGGCTCTACTCCTCTTGCAAAATTGTCCAACACCTGAACCCACTTCCTGCCCTGGTCCCCTCTGATCCCCACAGTACAGTGAAAGGCAGACTGGGTACAGCCAGCCTTTTCTCCTGACACATGGGCTGTGAATACACACGTCCCATTCCCATAGAATATTCAGTAACCGTCTTAAGAGATGGCAGCGTTTGGCAGGAGGGGTGGGATGCTCTCTGTGTGTTTAGATGCAGAGGAGGTGGATACTCCTCCCAACGTGCCCCAGTGTATGTGAAAAGTGAGAGACATTCAGTTTCGAATGTACATCTGAGCTTTGACTGGTTCCCCGCGCTAACGATTGTTGCTCAGAGTCCATTCCAAGGCCTTTCGAGTGCCTTCTCACTGCTGCTGTTTCCCCTCTTCCATCTGGGACCATATTTGGGTTTTATATTCACACTAATAAACTGTGACTTTTTAAAGTGCCTCTGACTTCACCTTTCGGACCCTCCCTTCCTGCACAGTTGCAAGACTCTGATGAGCAGGAGTGGGGATTTGGGCAGGTGGAGTGCTGTAGGGTGGGGATTTGGGCAGGTGGAGTGCTCTCCAAGGGCACCTGGGAGAGTGAGGAGCCCTAATTCTGCCAGGTGCCTTTGCATATCACACCCTTTGGGTTTTATCTTCATAAGCTACACCAGAAAGCCAACAAGTTCCACAGCCAGCCTTTGTTTTCAAGAGGATATACTGGGTTATTCCACTCTGCACGCCAGTGTACGGAGAGGTTGGTGGTTGCTCGGATATGAGGGGCAAGCAGCCCCCAAATCCAGATGAGGGCTCAGCACATCCTGCAATCCCAGCTGGCTGTTTTTTGGAAGATCTGGTGTAGGAAATAAATTGGGGCATTTCTGTGTCCTGTTATCCAGGAGGTCAGATGCTTGTTTGGTCCTTTGGAATCTATGCAGCTCCTCCTCAGCTGGTTTTTTAAATCCACTAACCTTGCAGCTTGTCTGATAGCTTGATAAGTATGTGTGTAAAACTGGTTTCAGAGCCAGCCAACTAATGAACCTTTCACATCTCCTACCTGACTCTGTTGAGTACGCTCTGTTCAGGGCCATGCTTAACGCATGCTAATGGCTGTAGCTGGCTTTTCATGACACTGAAAGTTGGCTAATTGTAAGCTCTGCTGGCCTCTTGCAAACAGGCAGAGGCTGGGTGCGGGGAGGGCAAGTTTCTCTGCTATCCTGCTGCACTCCTGCTCTGGAGGGCCCCCACTTCTGGAGGTGGGAAGATCCGAACCTGGGGCCATTCAACCCTTAGCTCCTCTGCTAAGACACCCTCTACCCACAGAGCACCTCCAAGATTTCTCTGCAGCCTGTAGCTGACGTTACCACTCCCTCCCCCCACTCGCCCTACACACAGGCACGCACACCACTGTGACTGGCAGGGCACAGAACATCCTCATCCTTTGGGTCCCTTGATGATTATCTGTTCTTTTCACTCCCCCTGGGGCATCTAGCATGGGCTGCTGGCGACAGCCAGGACACTGGGCTGCATGGACCTTTGGTCTGACTCAGTCTGTCTGCTCTTATGTTCTTATCACGGCAACCTGGAGAGCAGTGCAGAGGCAGGAAGGGGTCCCCGCTCCTAGGTAAAATACACTCATGCTATGTGTACAGGGCTGGGTGGATGGGACAGGGCAGCTGGGAGGGCTACGGTTGCCAGGTATCCGGTATTTGGACTTTGTGTCCGATAAATGTCTACGTCCGGTATTTTCTAATTAAGTTTTTCTGCTTTTCCTGGACCTGGCTCTGTGCCGAGGGAAGCCTGCTCAGGACACGCGGGGATTAAAAGGGCTGTGACTGAATTAAAGGGGCCATGACTGCATTTCAGCCCCACCTCCCCTCAATGTCTCCCTGGTGCTTTTTTTTTTTGCTCCATAAATTTTGGTCTGGTATTTTTTTTGAAACCATCTGGCAACTCTAGAGGGGCATCCCCATGCTGCCTGCCTGGTGCCCCCCCATGCTGCCTGCCTGGTGCCCCCCCACATACCCC